AGGATGTGGTAGGCCTGGACATCCGCCACCACCAGCTCCAGGCTGTCCTCGCTCAGCGGGAAGGAGTGGTTGACCGTGATGCTGATGCTCTTGATGTCTGCCCCAACAAGGTTGTGGGCCACGCAGGTGTACAGCCCAGCCTCACGAGCGGAGATCCCACGGACCTCCAGCGTCCCTTCGGGATGCACCCTGTACCGCCCATCTTCTGTGTAGGGGATCAGCTTCACCCCCGAAGGGGTGACCCAGTAGATCTCCGGGTCCGGCTCCGCCAGAGCCCGGCAGTGCAGGGAGACGTTGTCGCCATCCGCCACCTCTAAGCTGGACGGGAAGCTCCTGGTGGAGATGAGGGGCAGGCACTGGTCCGTCATCTCCCGGAAGGGGCCATCCCGGATGAGGGGCTCGGCGCACAGCGTGGACTGCGGCTCGATGAAGCGGATGTGGTTTTCCGTGCTGTTGACCCAGCGGATGACGCAGTCGCAGCGGATGGGGTTGCTGTGGATGCTGATCTCCTGCAGGTTGGGCAGGGACTCCACCGTCTGCTTATGCAAGGCACTTAGGGCGTTGTTGTTGAGCATGAGGGTTTCCAGTTGGGGAAGGTGGTGGAATGCATTGGGGTGGATAAAGGACAGCTTGGGGTTGTTGGTCACATCTAGCTTGGTCAGCTCAGGGAGGTTGATCAAGGCAAACTGGTCTATGGACACCAGCTCCTCCATGTTGTTGAGCCCCAGCTCCTTGAGGTGCAGCATGTTCGTGAAGTCGCTTTGCTTGACCCTCTGCAACGGGTTTTTGTTCAGATCCAGGAACTTGAGGCCGGGAACTTGCTGCAGCGCCCGCTTGGGGACGTTCACCAGCTTGTTGTCATAGAAGGAGAGGCTCTCGAGGCTCCGCAGCCCTTCCAGCGCGTAGTCCGAGATCTCCCTCAGGTTCATCCCAGCCAAAACCAAGCTCCGCAGGTTGGCCAAGGGCCTGAAGTTCATGTCCAGGATCACGTCCACCTTGTTGCCTCCGATCATGAGGATCTCCAGGCTGGGCAGCATCTGGAACCAGCGGCTGTCGACCGCCCGCAGCAGGTTGGAGTTGAGGTGGAGGCGCAAGAGGCTGCTGAGCCCTTTTTTTTGAGCCCGGCGAAGGCGCGGGGCGCGATGCTGCGGAGCTGGTTGTGGTTCAGGTAGAGCTCCTGCAGGTTGCCCAGCCCCGGGAAGCTGCTGTCGGGCAGCTCGGAAAGCTGGTTCTCCTCCAGGTGCAGGCTGAGCAGCTGGGGCATGCTCCTGAGGCCGAAGTCCCACACGGCAGTGAAGCTGTTCTGCGACAGGTCCAGCTCCGAGAGGTTGTGGAGATAGTCCAGCTCGCTCTGCTCCAGCCTGGCGATGTTGTTGCTTTGCAGGAGCAGGGTCTGGGTCCCCTCGGGCAGGTCCTGGGGCACGGCGG